AGAAATGTTAGAACATTGTTAATTTTCAGTAAGACTACTATCAAAATTGGTAGGAGTTGCTGACATATCACAAAACTATGCGGAGTGCTAAGGGTCAACACGTTGACTGCCACGAGAATTTCTAGCGTTTCGAATAGTAATATTTATTCTTTAATAACAAAGGCAAATGATACTGAAAATAATTATTAATGATTTAGTATTAGAGTAGTCGTATTATGCTATGATGTAGCTACTTATACTAAATATTTTTATTTAAACTCAAGCTTTTTATTGTGATTGTTCTTCACTAATTTGGAAACTTTGGTCACCGGTGACCCCCATGGCATACAACGCGTTAATGAAGTACCTGTACCCGTAATTCTAAAAGAAGAATTTAGAAATCGGTCGTTTCGAGCCGTTCGGTATTTCTATCGTTACAACTGAAACTCGCGGAGCAAGCCCCGCGTTATTATCTCGAACACGGTCGTCCGCTAAGCAACAATAATCCCTTTTACTTTTACGCGACCCTAATTTTCGAGAACGAGGCCGCGGTAATCGATGAGCTTTCCCCGTAATCCCGACCAAGGGAATTCCGAGGTGTTTCCGCGCGATCCGCGCGAACGCCCGATTAAAATGCAACGCGTCAGCGACGCGACACGGGAATCCGCGGCGGGATTCAGTCGGCCGAGGGCGCGTGACTTTCGAGAATTCTGCCGCCGGCTCCGGGACGCTTCTAATTGTTTACGTTCGCCGGGGCTCGAGTTTCGGGAAAGGAGCCGGGAATTTCGACGGGGCGCGTCGTAAATTTCGGGAAATGTGGGCGGGTCTCCTGAAACCGGGAGCGCGGGAGTCGACGGAACGCTGGGGAAACTCTCGAGTCAAGGGATTTTCCCGAAGTTGGCTCTGGGGAAGGTAATTTATCGTTACGTCGACCATAACTTTCAACGATCATAGTTTCTATATTCATTTCGTGGTATCTTTGGAAAAGCTGAAGCGACCGTACCAATCTAGACATTCTACTCATTTTGTGGAAATGTTTCGGACAGAATTTCAGACACAGCTTCCGATCGATTCTGAAAAGTCCAACCCCCGGAACCAATGGATCAACTAGAGCAAGTTGAAGTTGGCTCTGGGGAAGGTAATTTATCGTTACGTCGACCATAACTTTCAATGATCATAGTTTCTATATTCATTTCGTGGTATCTTTGGAAAATTAGAAGCGATCGTACCAATCTAGACATTCTAATCATCGGTTTTACACTCTAATCATTCTGTCGATATGTTTCGGACAGAATTTCAGGCACAGCTTCCGATCGATTCTGAACAGTCCAACCCCCGGAAGCAACGGATCAACTAGAGAAACTAGCCAAGATAGAATGAAGAAAGATTTACCTTTCGCCTTGCCGATGCCACCGCGAATTCTCTCGCAGTTGAATCCTATGGTGGGCACGGTGTTCAGGTATTGGTCGAACTTGAGGCGATACAAAGCGGTGGTCTTCCCGGCGCTGTCCAGGCCGAGCATGGCCACGTGGAGCGGCGTTCCCGTAGGAAGCGCCTCGAGGAACCCGCCGCTCGTCCCGCTCCTGCCCATCCCGGCACCCATTCCTCTTCCCTCGCGCTTCCTCCCACCCTCTGCCCTAGACCTCTTCCTCCTCTGCCGTCCTTTTATCTGGCATTTAGCTCCTTTCTCCGCGTCCCCCTAGCACCGACTCCCTGTTCTCCTCTTCTAATCAGTTTCGATCCTCTATCTTCCGCAATCTTATCCTTCTTCCTACTGTCGACGTTTCCCTTCGCTGCGCCAGTCCCCTGTTCACTTCATTCCGTCCTCGGCAGCCTCTCTTCAGCTACTCCCTCGATGCATCGACGTGCAATTCTAGATCACCCTTCGCTGATCTTCTTAATTCTTATCCCGTTCTATTCGTCCTTCGAGGTGGTCGCACTCGATGGTTCCTCGGATACTCTTGGTAGCATGTCTTCAGGTTCTCTCGAGTTAGATCTCGATACTGATAGCTTCAGTTCCTCGCAGAGTCTCTCTTCGGCATCTCTTCGAGTCGAATCTCAGTCCTTGGTTCCAGCGACCGATCTCTCGCTTCACTTCATCCCGGCGCTACCTGACCCCGGCCAGGGCCCAAGGGTCTCTCGCTCCAGCCGAATACTCTTGGTTTTACGATCGTCCTACGCCGCGGCCCTTTTATTCCATCGCGACGTACCTGCCGTTTAGGGTGTTAGTCAGACTAGGGTCCGCAGACGATTCTTGTTCTCGGTTCTGGTTCGAGCGGCGAGCACCGGCAGCAGCAACTTTCGTGTCTCTGGGCCAAAGTCGCGGACCGAGGAGAGG